AATGGATACAGCAAAAGCATTAGACAAAAGTTAATTCATTCCTGATAGAAACTTTTGTAAAATAAGAATAGAATAGAACCTGATAAGGGCATCTATAAAAAATCTACAAGCTAACATTTTACTTCTTGGTGAAAGACCAAATGTTTTCCTGCTAAGATCAAGAAAAAGGCAGGGTGTATCTGTTCACATCACTTCTATTCACCACTGAACTGTTGATTCTAGACAGTCTAATAAGCAATAACTCTCCCTTCCCCCTCCCGTCAGTCACTGGTATATCTAATCTATTTTTTTTTTTTATTTGCCCTGGTATTCATTTAGATTCTTGGCTTTATGGTTTTCATCAAATTTGAAAATTTTTGGCCATTATTTCTTAAAATATTTTTCTCCCCCTATACTCTACTTCCAGACTCTAATTATACTTATATTAGACTGCCAAAGTTATCCCACAAATAACTTTTCCAACTCCTTACCTTGCTTGGGTCAAAAATAAAATCCTCGTGTCCAATTGAGCCTTTGATTACCAAGATGAATGACCTATCTTGTTAAGTTCTATTTTACCTCCTCATTTATAGCTCTGATTTTTAGTTTCCTCTTTATTTCTTGTATCTAGGAATTTCTCTTTTTTCTTTCTTTCTCACATGCTGAGTAATACTTTTTAACATTTTGCTATGTTTTATCTATTATCTCTATATCAAAGGAATTTCAGATTATCTTAGTTCATAACACTTTAAGAATAAATATCAGGGCCATTTTCTTGTTTACAAGGTCCTAGTTATTTGGGCAAAGAGCAGGGTAAACATTCTAACCCGGACATTTAGAAGAACAAATAAATGCTGTATGTATATATGTGTGTATGCGTGTATGTATTTGTGTGTGCATTTGGTAAAAAACTTGAAATAAGCCTAACCACTATTGCCTGCTTCAGTTTGATAATTCAGAATTTTGAATTCTTCTTTTGGGAATTAACTGATGTTAACTAGTTTTAAAGACTACTGAGGAATAACAAGTTACACCTAAATTTCATTTCTGGTTAAGTTCCTCATTTAGGAACGATCTGAAAGCTCATAAAATGTTTTCATTATTTTTAATGGGTTGTAATGAAATCTGATTCAATGGCTATTTTCTCAGAAATGTAGAATTATACCAAGCTACCTAGTGTGCTACAGTGGGGGAAAAGAAACATAGGCTTTTAGGGAGAGAACGACAAGGTTTGAATTCTAATTCCAGCACTTTTAACAAGTCATTATGATACTCTGAATAGGAAATATACTTACATAAAAATTACTAGTCTGTAGAATACTTAGAGGCTTCAGAATTTCAGGTATATAACTGTTGAACATTGATAATGTCACTATTTCATCTAACAAATATGTATTGAATGTTCGCCGTACATAAGGTAGTACCCTAGATGCTATAGAAGATAACGGAGTCCTCCCCCTATGGAAGCTTACAGCTTAGATCAGGAGCAGTGAAACAAAAGTACAGTTGAGTGTAGCACAAAGCAGCATGAGAGCAGTGACAAGTATGCTAGAGATGAAAGGCTCCAGTGGCGGCTATTACTTAGTTCTGAGCAACTTCTCATTCTAGTGTAACAAGAAGTATTTTTATAATAAGCAGCCCAAGCCATAGCCCAGGAAGCACCTGAGACTTATTCCTGAGCCTGATTATCTGGCTGTCTCACCTCTACACAATCAGCATTTATTTCTAGTCACTTTGTCTGATGTGTCTTCTCAGATTCAGCAAGGGGAACTTCTGCAAGGACAGTATTTGTAGGACACAGAAGTTTCACATCTCCAGGTTATAAGAACAAATTTACACATGAATTGTTAACTACAGCACCTGGAATTGTCTTTAAAATCTAATCATATAGCATAATATGGGAAAAATAGCTAAGCAGTGTTCTCTAAACCCCCAAATTGGAGATGACTGAGAACAGGACACTTGGAGAGACAAGTATAAAATCTACGAGACAGAAAAGAAGAAATGATAGTCATTCACAAGTAACTACCAACACACAAGAAGCTGTGAACATGATGAGTTTAGGAAATTCATCATGAGCATGCCCTTCTGTCTGCAATGGAGAGGGAGGGCCTGTGTTGCGATAAAGTGGGTGAGGAGAGGAAGCTGTCAGACCTGGATTCAGGCGTAAGCTCTGCCATTCAGATGGTCTTGCGTAAATCACTTACCTTCATATGATTTCATTTTCTTCATCTATATGGTGGCTCTTTTGAACATGTTTGTCTCTTATATTTCTACAAGTATATGAAAAACTGGTAGGATGTTGAGTGATAGAACTGATGGAGCAGAAAGTCTTTCGGGTGGAGAAAGTGACATTATTTAAAGAACAGAAAGGAAATAATATAAAACTTAAACCTTGAACTCTTCACAGTAAATCAGTAAACTCCATAAAATAATGATGAAGGTGGTCCAAGCATGATTATCCATGTCTTCCCCCATTCAGCTGGCTTGCCTTTGTATCCCCAGTGCTAGCACGATGCCTTATTATAAAATTGGTGCTTCGTGAATATTTGGAGGGATGGGAGGGAAGAGAAATGGAAGGGAGAGGAGAGGAAGGGAAGGAAGCGAGTAAGCTGGTTCAGGAAGCCCTCTCACAACACGTGCCACATTTTGTGTCAGGGATCCCTGTATTTAATGGCCTTTCATAGTTGCGACAGTCTTTTTTTAAACAGAGCTATTTACTTGGAATGCTTTTATTATAAACTATATTTGTGCTCAAAGAGCTTCCAGCTGTGGTAGCTTTCAGAAGGTCCCTTTGTTGTGTGTACATAGTGTCATAACAGGTCATTTCTGCCCAGCCAGTCAATTTCATTGACTCAGATGGGGCTGCTTTGTGAATAAGCTATATCTTTTTTCCTCCTTAATTTTTACTGCAGACAGTAAATACTTTATGCCTAGAAAGACGATTCATTTATTCAACAGATGCTTATTAAACACCTCTCAAAAGCTAGGCATTGTGTGAAATACTTGGAATACAGAGATATGTAATAAAGATAAGATCCCTTCCTTTATGATACTTAGAGTGTCATGGGGGAATCTCACATTAAATAAATAATTAACCATTGTGATAAATATTTTAAAGGTAAAGTACAGAATGTTACAAGAGAAACCTAAACTAACATGAAGGGGTGGGGTCAGGAAAGTAAGATAAAATTAAAATTTTAAACATCTTAAATATTTCCACACTTGAAATATAAAAAGATAAAATTATTTCCATCGGTTGTTGATTAAATTAGGAAAGATGGGCTTATCCAGAGAGGCATAGAATCCTTAGAAGCTCAGTACTTTAATAAATAACTGAAAAAGGAAACATTATTTACCCAAGAACACACAGCTTGCTTCTGGCAGGGCTAGGACTTGAACACAAGTCTGCTAATCCTATTACCTCTCCTCGGTGACTTAAAAAATAAAGACATTATATACCAAATATAGATCAGTCATGGCCAAATCAACTATTAAGTGACCACTCTGTACAAACTTGTTTATTGAGTGTGGGGAGGAGTTTATAGAGTAATGAATTGGCAAATGCAAATATAACGGAAATACACAAAATATGTCCTATCATGCTGATTGCGTCTGGTCATAGTAAAACCATAGCCTACAGACTAAAGTGAGAAATACCCACTTAGAATTAGTGAACATATATTTAAAGGAATATGCCCTATTTCCTTAAAATATAAATACTAACGACTAAGTGCAAGTCTCTAAGTAGAAGTTCTTAAACCCCATTTTTATTCATGTGTAATATTATATGAAATGTAAATTATTCTGACTGCTTTGCAGCCTGAGTGATCTCTCAGTTAGGTTAAACATTGTTCCTGGTATTTTGTTCCAATATATATTTTCCCTAGCATACCCTTTCATCACATATAGTATAGCAGTTAGCTTCAGACCAGAAACATCTAAATCTTTCTAATTCTTTATTTGAAAGATTGGGAATCAAAGAAATGTTACTATTCATACCAGAGATTGTGAAATTAGTTGAATCGATGAAACTAAGAGGAGTATGAGGCTTCAGGGAGAAGGCTAGTCTTGAACAGGTGTTAGGGAGAGCATCCAAGACAATTTTGAGCATATACTCAGCCTTGAACAAGCATATACTGAATAAGGGAGACCCAAAGTTACAAAATATTAAGTTAAACCATATGAAATTTTCATTTTTATAGGTTAAAAAGTCAAACATTGGTGACTGTATGATTCAGCCTATTACACGAAATGACCAAAAAGGGAATCTATACTCTAATGTCAATAGATGTGGGTATTTATTAAATTTGAGTACATGTATATTGGCTATATTTCAGAATTTGCCAAATGAGAAATTCTGGTAGTTGAATTAACTCTTAATTTCACATGAAATCACAATTTAAATGTAGACAGATGGCATAATCACTTCAAAAGCTAAAAATATTCTAAAAGACCTTCAACTTAGAGAACTTCTAAGTTCTTCACACTTCATGGGTATAAATGTGAGGAAATATTTATTTGATGACCAGGCTTTAGTGGTATGGTATGGTGTGGACTGAAGTTAACCAGGGTATTTTGCTTTCAAACTCTTGCTATGCTGACAATCTCCAAGTTTAAGAAAAATCAGGAGAAAGGTGGAGAGAAGTAATCATTTTGAAAATGAACTAAGTGTCAGGTGCTCTGCTACACAGTTTACAAATTAGTGTGTTTACTTCTCGCAACCCTATGAGGCCAGTATTATTTCTGTTTCACAGTTGAGGAAACTGAGACCTAGAAAGGTTAAATTACTTGCCCAGTGTCACATAGTTTGAAAGTGGTAGAGCTAAGCCTCAAACATTTTTCTTTTCACTATATACTGTGCTACTAGTATGTTTGTTTGCTCATTTATATCCTATACACTTTAAAAGTGCCATGTTTAATTATAATAAATTTACATGTGAGTAAAACAAGGGGATTGTCATTACTTTTTTCTTTTAAAAAGTTATATGGTAAAACACATTTAAATCTTTTCTTTTAAGGATGAACGTGAAGCCAGAGAAAATGTGAAGAGAGAGCAAGATGAGGCCTATCGGCTTTCACTTGAGGCTGACAGAGCAAAGGTAGGTTTGGTCACAGGACTTCTGGGATAAAGAACTCAATCCTAAATGGTCTTTCATTAATTAAATGCCAGCCTTTTTAGCACTTTGATCCCCAACAATGTTGGGTTTGCATTGGAGAAAGCTAGATTCAATTAACAGAAAGAATATAATTCTACCCCTGGTCCTTAAAGTATAGTTCATTTTGACAAAGTACTTTGTTGAGAACCATGAAAATGAAAACAAAAATGGTCCTAGTATCTATTTTATTTGTTCTTTTTTTAATGAATCTATGGTAAAACCTAGCAATGTTTAAAAAGCTGTTCAGGTGATTCTAATGTGCAGCCAGGGTTGAGAACTGCAGATTTATTTAATGTTTCTTGAGAACCTGCTTCTGTACTGAACATTGGAGGAGGGGGCACTGAATAAGCCAGTTTCTGCCCTCAAAAGAAGGCTCATGATGTGTAAAGTTGATTAAAGCAAGAACACAGGTAGCTGTAACACTTAGGCAAGGGTCCTAAATATTATAAGGGAAGCACTGAGTTCTATGAGTTTAGTGAACACAAATTTCAGTGGAAAGTTTTTTCTAGTTTTTTTTAGAGAGCCAAGAAGTGAGAAAGTACCAGGGAGGCTTTCACAGAAAAGGTTTTATATGTTTACTGGATAAAGAGAGGTAGGAGAAACAAAGTAATCTATGCTAGTAGCAAGGAGTCAAAAAGCATGGGTGCATGATAGAGACTGATGTAAACAGAGCTGGATAATTGTGAAAGGAAGATCAGAGGAAGATTTTGAGGGATCTTGAATGCCACACTACCCAGAGCCACTCAGGTGTTTGACTAGGATTCTACTCAGCATGATCAGACAGCTATGCTTTGTTGTTGCTTTCATTTCCATTCTTGTTCTAGAGAGAAACATTTTCATCACTTCCATTACCACAGTGTATCTCTGAGCTGTGCTGGGAATGAGCTCTTTTTTTTCTTCTTCTTTTTTTTTTTTTTAAAGTAAATCGGTGTTTATTGAGTGCTGGCTCCCTCTCTCTTTTATCGACAGAGGGAAGCTCATGAGAGAGAGATGGCAGAACAGTTTCGTTTGGAGCAGATTCGCAAAGAACAAGAAGAGGAACGTGAGGTAGGACATAATATTTACAAAAGATATTCAAAAGTTAGGTTTGTTTCCATTGCATTTGATACTGAGGCTCTTAATAGTTCTTATAACTTCTTTTTCCAGACTCAACAACTTTTTTTAGACTCATTTTGTATAGAAGATATAACCTTTCCTTAAAAGAATCATTCTTGATCTGTCGTACGGAACTTCACCTTGTACTGGATTTATAGTTTTCTGTTCTTTACAATTCCTTTCCCCTCTTCTTGCCTGACAAATACTCCCATCCTTCCTGGGTATTGTCTCATCCCCAAAATACCAAGACTTTATTTTCAGCCATTTTCCCAGGTTTCACTTTACTCCACTGAAAGATACTGTAAGTTACTTCTACAGCAGCTTGGCTGCTTTTCTACCCCCTGAGTTCATGTCATGTTTACAACAATATAGAGAATTTTTCATTCACTTACTTTTAAAAAAAGGGGTTTTTTTGAATACTCAGTATGTGCCCAAAATCTGTTAGGGGGCAGGGATACCGACATGGGTCCTCCCTTCCTGGAGTTCAGTTTTGTAAAAATAGGTTTACAATACCATATGTAAAGTTATTACAGAGATTTGCCTCAGATGCAGTGAGAACAAAGAGAAGGGGTATCAAATGACTTCCTAGAGTGGCTTTACAGAAAAAGACTTTTAGAATTTTTTTGTAGACGTGAAATTAATAGCAAGATTCACTTGTAATAAGAGGAAGCCATCTAACAAGTGGTGGAAGAGCCCGGGGGGCCCTAACTTGGCCTGAGGAAAATTCTATTAGTCATCATTCTCAATCAAGGATGCCACCTTGTACTTATTCATAACAGGTGTTTTTTTAATAAGAACTGTGCTGAGCACTGAAAGAGAAGCAAAGGATAATAAAATATTTTCTACCTGCAAGAAGAGATTACATCTTGTAGAAAAGATGCAAAATATCTGTAAGTAACAGCAAATCAAGGGGAAAAAAGTGTAAAATAACATATGAGAAGTAAAAGCAAAATACTTGGGGAGTTCAGGGGCAAAGTAAAAATCGGTTATAGCTTTGAGAATCAGACAATGCAGTAGAAGTGATATTTGAGCCAGGTGTTGAAAAATGTGTGATATTTCACTGTTTGAAAATCAAAGTTTATTCACGTTCAACACTTACTAAGTGCCTATCACATACCTGCAAAATACTGTGCCTGACAAATCCTGGTCTCTGTACACTGAAGTCTCTCAGTTATGGAAGGTAGAAAATATTTTGTTGAACATCTTCTATGTCTCAACTGCTCTATCAGCTGCTTTATATATGCTTACTTATTGACCATTAAAACAAACTACAAGTTTAGAGATTTCCTTTATCAGTTAGAAAATTGAAACTCATTAAGAAGTCACGCATAGAAATGAGAACAGCTGAGATTCTCACCTTGGTCTTTATGACTACAAAGCTCATACTCTTTCACTTCATTCCAGTACAAGGCCATATATCATTGTATGTGTCTATAGGAATCGTGTGCAGTTTCACAAAAATTTGTCACTATGCTTTTAGGCTGTTTCCACAACCATAGTTTAAAATTTTAGGACTTTTACTCTCATGCTTTCTTTCACACATACTTTCCCTCTTAATAGTATATCTTCAACCATATATATGCTAAATGTCAGGTATATGCAATTAACTGCATATTCTGGATCTAGAGCTTGGTAGCATATGTACTTTTTTTGATAATTTACCTTATTTAGCCTGGGCTAAAATTTTCTCTTTATAAATATATATAAAGCCTGTCCTGTCATAGAAGGCTCCAGAAACATCTTTAGCATACCTCAATAAATATGTTCCAGCTATAAATGTGAAAGGATGGGGCACGAGGAGGCAGGACTACTTATTTTCTTTTTTCAAAAGTAAGTCATATATTTTGCATTGGGTGTTCACTGCCCATAGTTAGATTTATTTCTGTCACCACATATTTGCCCCTTTTACTGCATCTACCTACCCACAGACAGCTCATATTTTGCAGCTAGTCATTACTTGCACTTGCCTACTGATGTACTCCCAGAAAACCAAGTTCAGATAGTGTTACATACTCTACTCCTTCCCTAGACAGTCACAGTCAAAGGCTCTTATAAATCCCACCATTAAGAAACAACCTTCTATTTATCTTAATTTAATTCAATCTTATCCAGACTTATTTGACCTCTTTTTTTTTTCACGGAGCACCAGTTAACATATTTCAACACACTCATGTACAACAAACAACTCTTTGGAAAAAGCTGTTGTTGTGAAACCTCTGAAGAAACTAAGACCCAGAGAGATTATACAGTTCGCCTATGCTGCCAAACTGGTTGGACACATAATCTGGACTAAAAGCCGGATCACCTGACTTTTCAGAGTAACACTGCCTTCCCTTCTAACAAGAAGTCCTAACCCATATAATTGCATTGAGTAACAAGAGTGGTTTTATTATTTTATCTCTAGTATTTCAAAATCCTATAGAAAAATGAAGTATTGAATAGTTCAAGGCACCATGGTTACAGGGATTGGGGGATTGGCCTCATTTTGCTGTGTGGTAACTGTTGGAGTGAATCAGTAAAACCTAGGAATGCATTTTGATCTGGTCCTTGGCCATGATAAAGAGAAAGGCTTTAAGACTGTTCTGAAGGAAAAACAAAAAAGTGACAACAAAAATCTCCCCATTTTACTAATTCATACATGTATTTATTCTTTCCAAAATGGGTTTCAAGTAACTTATATAAATACTTGTAATTCAAATAGATTAAAAAAGAAAGAAAAGATAGTAATCAGGACAAGGGTAAATAAAGGAAGATAAAGGCAAAAGTAAGATTAACATGCAGACAATAGATAATCTAGCAGCACAGGCACCAAATTCATGTGGTAGGGTTCTGTACATTTGCTTAAGATGAGCCACAAAATTTTTTTCTATGTTTTTCTTGGGCTAAACCAAAGGAAAATATGATTGTTTACAAGTTTCATTCTGTCCATTAACATCAGATAAAGGCCAGTCTCTCAAAAAGACACCCAGATTTTTCAACACTAAAACCTTAAAGCAGTGTTTCCTGTGGTTCCCCTTCAAGAGGAGCTGTACCTAATAGCTATAATAGCAATAGCAAGGCATTTATAAAAGTTTCATATAACTTTATGGAATTCAAAGTCCTAAGGCCAAAGCACAATTTAGTAAAAGTATCTCTGCAAAGGCTTAAATAATATATTTTTCTGGTATTTCAGTTTAAAGGATGGATTTTATGGTATAATTACGTACCCTTTTAGCAATCCTTTCTGAACACTGTTTTTTGCCACTGAGTTTTTTGAAAGTAGAGAACATTTTAGCTAAGATTTTTGACTCCCAGTTCTTTTAATCAGTGAGTATTCAGCAAATATTGTTAATCCCCTTCTGTGTGTAAATTAATAAATCAGGTGCTATGGAAAATATTTTGTATATGTGAGATATAGTCCCTGCCCTTAAGGAGCTCACTGTCTAATACAAGAGGGTAGATGAATACAAAACACATTATAAAAACCATTAAAATAGCACAGACTGCTGAAGATACATAGAGGAAGATGATTTCTGGCTAGGAAGGCAAGAAGAAAGACTTTACAGAGGAGGAGGCTTTGGAGGATTGGTAAGACTTTGATAGTTAAAGACAGAAATAGAAGAGCATTTTGGATGGATTGATGAATAGATGGATGGGGAGGGGTAGGGCATGAGCTGGTTAATATTGAACAAAGGGAGAAAGGCACAGGGCTTCCTCAGGGAACAATAAAATGGACAAATTTAAAACAGTCTAATAATTAGAGATAAGGCTAAAATAAAAGGGCCAGGTTTTGGAAAACCATGGGTGGGAGAGAATGGGCACAAAGCTATTCCTTTTTGCTGCTGGTTCCATCAAACAGAAAAGAAAAAGTTACGTATTTGCCTGTCTACCCAAAGTTGTTTCATTTTACATCTTGGTGCCTCCTCAAGCAGAAAATGTTAGATAATATTATGGACTAATAAATGAGAGAACAGAAGAGCATAGAATTAGGAGGCTTGATACTTCCTTTCAGTTTTCTTAATCTTCACAACCATCCTACAAAATGGGTAAGGATGATATCTTTACAGTCTTACAGATGAAGAAAGTAAGATCATAGCAGGATTAAAAAACCTATTTTTAAATTCTTACCTACCAATTGCCTGGAAAAAGTAGAACTAGAGTCCTCTTCGATATTCTTTTTCCCTATTTCTTCACATTTGAAGAATGAAGGTGGGACCATGAATCGGTTATTTAGGTAAAACCACTCTTTATAATTTGTGTTTTTACCTTATGTAAGTTGCTTCTTGTCACAAAGACACCACCATTTAGTGTCTTTGTGACATAAGGGTAATCATCCCTGCCATCAGCATCATCACTATCTATTGAGAAATTAATATGAGCTAAACTCTGTGCTGAGCACTTTACAGACATTATCTGTTTGAATCTTTACAGCAACTTAATAAGGTAGGTGCAAATACATAAATATATTTTATTAAAATTATAGAGACCACTTATCCACTATTTATTAGATAGTTTCAATTTGAAGTATTTTGCTGTTACCTTCATGAACCATTAAAATAGACTAGAAATTCTAGTTTTATAGTATCCAAATCACAGCTTACTGACTGTTCTTTATATCCAAAAGCAGCTCAAAGGTCATATATTTGAATTGTGATTTAAGTAATATGATCATTTGCCTTGATTTACTTTATCCAGCAGTATGGCTATATTCGTAATAAGCTAGCCATGCTCTCTAGTGAATGATTGGTTGCCAGGAGCAGAGAATGGCTGCAGAATTGGGTCAGACCAACCATTCCCATATGGGATCCATTCTACGCCTTTGATGATTATACGTGGTATCATGACTTTAAATACTGTCTATACATTTGACTTCCAAAATTATATCTCCAGCTTATCTCTTTCCTTGAACTCCAGACTTGAATATCTAATTGCTAGCCCATCATCTCCATTTAGTTGTCTAACAGACATCGCAA